TAAAATGTCTTTCAGAAGTGTTCTATAGTTTTCCTTGTATAAGTCTTTCACCTCCTTGGTTAAGTTAATTCCTAAATATCTTACTCTATTTGATGCTACTATAAATGGAATTCTTTTTTTTTTAAAAGAATTATTTTAAATTTATTTATTGTTATTATTATTTTTGAATTTGACCAGAGAGAGAGAATGAAAGCAAGAAAGTAAGCCACCAGGTCCTGGACTTGAACCGCAGTCAATCATCTGGGAGTCCAGTGCCTCTAACCACCACGCTGCCTGCCAGCCCCAGAATTCCTTCCTTAATTTCCTTTTCTAATTGGTCATTATTAGTGATACAAATGCAGCTGATTGTTGTGTGTTGATTTTGTATCTGGAAACTCTGCTGCATTCACTTACTAGTTCTAACAGTATTATGTGGAATCTTTAGGATATTATATTGGTTCATGTTATCTGTAAACAGATCATTTTACTTTTTCCTTTCCAACTTGGGTGTTTTTATATTTTTTCTTTCTAATTGCTAGAACTTCCAATACCGTGTTGAATCAAGTAATAAAAACAGCCACCTTTGTCTTATTCCTTAATATTTTCATTGGATAGATGTGGAAATATAGGCCATAAGAAGGAAATTTACTTGTCCAATTTTATATAAGTTCATAGCAAAGCAGGGACTAGCATCCATATCTCTAAACTTCTGGTCTAGTATTTTTTCCATTATGTTGGTTCCAGAATTAAGAATAGCTGGTTTTGGAAAGAGGCACATTATATCTTTATTCGAAGTTCTCTTACACTATTTTCACATCAATAAGTCATGATCGGTGATGGTATTAAGGAACTATTTTAGTATTGTGGGATTTTTTTTAAATTTGTAATTCTGAATTTTACATCTGATGCATGTAACCTAAATGTTTATGTAAATTTCAGAATGTTATTCTTTTCCTTATTTCTTCAGTGCAGTTACAGTTGGAACTGATATGCTAGAATTGGACTGCCATATCACAAAAGATGAACAAGTTGTAGTGTCACATGATGGGAATCTAAAGAGATCAACTGGAGTCAATGTAAATATCTCTGATCTCAAGTACTGTGTAAGTAAAAATGTGTAATAAACTAATGTCTAATAGATAATAGGGTCTGTAAGAGTTTAGAAAACAGTGAATGCCAGATATTGCTTCAGGAAATAATTTTTTTTTAATTATAGTGATTAAATAATGAATGTCAAAGAAAAATTTAAAAACTATGTTGAATTCCATTAAAAAATTTGTACTAGGCTGGGTCATAGCCAAATCCCACATGGCTGACAGAGATTCAAAACCCTGGGGCCAGTAGATGGTGTAGTAGTTAAGCTGCTAGACTCCCACATGGCTGACCACAGTTCCTGGACCTGGTGGCTTGCTTTCTCACCTCCCCTCTGTCTCTCTGTCTCTCTCTGGTGAGCACATGTACCCTGTAGCAAACTTTAAAATAATAATAATAACAATAAATAAAATAAAACAAAGCATTTTGAAAAAAAAAATCCTTATTTTGATGTCTTGGCAATCATGCCAGTCATATGTATATGCATGCCCACAGTCTTGCAGGACAGAGTCCATAAAGAACAGGGAGATGAGATTGGAGTCACATGTCTGTGCCCCACTGGGAACTACTTTCTCTCTCTCAGGTGAGCACTCTGGTACTCTGGCAATTTAAAAAATGAAAAAAAAAAAAAGGAATTTGTATTGAGGCTGGCCCCATGGCATAGTGATTAAGGGAGCCAGATCCCTCATGGCCAACTTTGCATTTGAATCCTAGCCTCTGTGGCTTGAAACACAGTGAGAGGGCCAAGAGGTGGTGTGGTGGTTAAGGTGCTATATTCCCATATGGCTAACTGTGGTTCGTTTCATGGTCCCAGTAGCTGGAAACTAACACTGAGCATGTGTGCATGTGTGTCCAAAATCCCAAAAGGAGAATGGAGGAGAAGGGATTGTCATGTGGCCATCCCGCGGGAGTAATTTCACACTTTCCCTCTCTCTGTATTTGCCTGTCTTTCTCTCTCTGAAGAGCGCACACATCCTATGACAAACCAAATCAAACAAACAAACACGAGTGTGTGCGTGGCCAAAATCCCAACAGGATAGAGAAGGGATTGTGGCATGGTCACACCCTATTTGGGAGTGTTTTTTCTCTCTCTCTGTTTTTCTCTGATAAGTGGATGTGCCCTCTGATGATTAAAAAGAAAGAATTTGTACTGTATGCAAATATATCTATGGAGACTTATTTTTATTTATTTATTTTTTTGGAGAGGTTTTTTTTGTTTGTTTGTTTTTTGCTATAGGGCATGTGCGCTTGCCAGAAAGACAGAGACATTCTGTCTCTCTGCCTCTCTCTTCTTTCTGGCGAGTGCACGCGCCCTATAGCAAAAACCTCTCCAAAAAAAAAAAAAAATCAGTGAAGTGCTCAGCTGTAAATCTACTAGAGTTCATCTTGTTTTATACAGTCTATAATTTATTTGGTTCAGATTAAATACATGAATTAGTTTTAGTCTTTAATTGTAAAAAACACCATTTGGAAATCTGATGTGATCTTGGCTCAGTCATGGTAAGGCAAGCAGTGGGGCACTATGGTGTAGATACTAGGGTCACTTGTGAGGCTCAGGTTAGCATCTTAGGTCGACCTGAACATGCCAGGTGCACCTGTGCACACTGTTGATTCTAGCTGTCTGGCAGACTCAGGAGAAGATTGTGATGCAGTGAGACCCTGTGAAGGGTACATATTTTTTTCTCTCTCTCTCAGAAAAGAAATAAACACAATATGGAATTTAAAAATATGATGATAATAGTTTACATGTTCATAATAATAAATGCTGATAAATGAAAGGAAGAATAATGCCTACTCTTGCCACCTAAAGAAAACCTACTTTAACAGGATACTATTATATCTGTATGTACACTCTGTAGGTTTTTATTTTTCCACAGAGTTGTGTTTTTACTGTGTATTATGTATATTGTGTTTTTAAAACTTTAACATTGTAGCATGGTAAACACTTCTCCATGCTTTTTTAAAAAATAGACTTTATGTTTTAGAGAAGTTTTAGGTTCACAAACAAAACTGAGTGGAAAATACAGAAAGTTATCATATATCCGTGAACCCCACACAAGCACAACCTTCCCAGCTATCAACATCTGCACTAGAGTGGTACATTTGTTGCAATCAGTGAGTATGCATTGACATAGCATTATCATCCAAAGCCTATAGTTTACATCAGGGTTCACTCTCGGTGTTGTCTATTCTGTGGGTTTGGACAGATGTATGATGACACATATTCACCATTATACTATTATATGAAGTGGTTTCACCATCTTAAAAATCCTCTATTTGTCTATACATTTCTTCCTTCCCTCTATCCCTTGGCAACTACTGATATTTATATATATATTTTTTTTTTTTTTTTTTTTTTTTGGGAGGTTTTTGTTTGACGCGCG